TGATACAAGGTTCTGTTCATGGTTTTGTAGTCATTCTAGCATCGCCACTGTGGTTAGTATATTAGACTCATTAATGTAATTTGAACTTTGTTGGGGCTGCGGTGGCCAAGTGGTTAAGGCGTCTGACAATCTGCTAGCTACCACAAGCCCTCGACCACTGGTTCGCGGGTTCGAGGCCTACGTGGGGCTGTCGCCAGGTACTGGCCGTAGGTCGGTGGTTTTTCCGGCTTTCCTCCACCACCAAAAGCTGGCACGTCCTTAAGAGACCATAGCTGTTAATAGCACGTAAAACGCAAAGAAACCAAACCAAAATCGTTGATAGCATTAAAATCGTTTTTTTTTTTTTTTTTTATTATTTGTTGAAAATGAAATACTTTCAAACAAACAATATCCAAATTAAAATCTCAGAAAAAACGTACGAAGATGTTAATCGTTTTGTAAAAACATTCAAGAAACATATTTGATAAAAAACAATCGCCTGGCAGTTGTTGTGCTAGATATAGGATATCGTGTTTATTACATGTACGTGGTGCTGTGTCGTTGTATAAATGTACTAAAAGCGTAGCGTACTATAAACGATTCGTGTCTGACAGCTCGTTCTGGTGAACGTGACAGAAGTACATGAAGCAAAGGTCACAGACGTTTACAACCTTAATTGAGGAGGGGGAATAAGGAGGGAGAAGAGCAGGTGGAGCCAAAGGAGGAGCAGGAGGAGGAAGAGAAGAAAATATCTGCCAATTAAATGTCACTCTATCATACAATTACAATCTCATTTACATGTACAGTTTGTAAAGGACAACAATTTACTGATCAGATGGTCATAGACTAAATAAATAAATCCGAATAATTACATATTGGTAATGAATTTGTTTATATATCCTATATTTCCTTAACACAAACGAACTAAAGATAGTTACCGCATTACCAAGAATGTTTTGGCAAAAAATAATGTTTTTTCGCTGATCATCGTTAACAATCCTTTTTTTCGGAATCCAGCAGGTTATTCTTCTGGATTCCGTCATCCGAAAGAGGTTCAGCCCCAGAGTGAAGGTGACAGGTATGGAGTTAACTGTGGAGGGAATTTGCCCCATTTCATACGTAGAGTTGGCATGGTGAATATTGTAATCTAGATTTCGTATCCCGGAAGAAAGGTTGCCAGAATGGTACTCCGGTTTCCTCTCACCACTTCAAGACCCCCCTGCACGCTAAGATTTGGGCTAACAAGAGTGATAAATATAAGTTGATAGAATGTAATTAGTGTGAAATATATAGAGTTTATTTTTGTTGTTGTCTGTATTGCGATGTCACAATGGTTGACTTCGCAAATTGGTTTATTCATTTCGTAATTGTTCTGGATTAAGGAGGCTCCACCCTTTCGCAATTAACCAGCAGAATTAAATGAAAGTTTCACATAATGGTTATGTCACTATGCAGAGATGATTTAATAAATAACTAAGCATTCCGATAAACTGAGGATTTTTTGGTAAAAAATACCGAAAAATGATTTTTTCTCAACTTAACACCTTAATAATTTTTGAGTGTATGGCATAGTTCAAAACTATTACAACAATAAAATAATGAAAAAAAGCATTGCTAATCAACCCTACAAATATTGTATTTATCATAAAATGTCTACAACATGTTACACAAAGTGTTTATTATTGAAATTATATGGATACAAGTTATTATATATAAGCTAAACGCAAACAGGACATATAGTTTCATACAAAAAGAGTGAAAATTTGAACCAAATACGCACAAAGTCTTTACAATTTATTTATTTTGTATTACGAAGGATGGGAAGTCCTTAAGCAGTGTTCAAAGAAAACATATGGTAGTCAACGGACATCAACCAAATGTCCTCTCCTCCTCGCATATATATATATATCCTACTCACCTAAGAGATACATTGGGGTCGGTTACCGCGATACATTGTAATTCTTCTACTGCAAAATGTGTTTAGGCTACTGATGCTTTAGAAGGCCACATTTTATAAACAATACGGAAGACACTTCCTGAAGAGTAGGCGACGGATTCTAACGAAGCTTTTTTCTTCAAAAGTAAGCAAGAGTGGGCGACGGCCTCTAACGAAGACGTTTACTTCAAAAGTAAGCAAGAGTATGCAACAGCCTCTAACGGAGATGTTTACTTAAAAAGTAAGCAAGAGTATGCAACGGCCGCTAACGAAGAGGTTTACCTCAAAAGTAAGCAAGAGTATGCAACGGCCGCTTACAGAGACGTTAACTTCAAAAGTAAGCAAGAGTATGCAACGGCCTCTAACGAAGACGTTTACTTAAAAAGTAAGCAAGAGTATGCAACGGTCTCTAACGAAGACGTTTACTTAAAAAGTAAGCAAGAGTATGCAACGGCCGCTAACGGAGACGTTTACTTCAATAGTAAGCAAGAGTATGCAACGGCCTCTAACGAAGACGTTTACTTCAAAAGTAAGTAAGAGTCAGCGACGGCCTTTAATGAGGATGCTTACTTTAGACAGAAGTAAGACTAGACATTTGCCGCTAAAGAGGATGCGTATATAAGAAGTAAAAAACACTTAGATTAGACTCCAATCACTAAATCAGACGCTTACTGCAAAAGTAAGAGTAGGCTTCGACCGCTACAACGGACACTTACTTCAGAAGTAAGAGTAGGATATGACCGCTACAACGGACGCGTACTTAACAATAAAGTCTCGGCACTACAGGGGACGCATACTTAGGAAGTGAAAGTATCGGCTACGGCCACTAATGAGGACGCATACATCAGAAGTGGATTTCACGAATTTACGATTGTTGTTAGAGAAAGGGCATGCACATATTAGAAATGAAAACGATTTCGATAAATTAATAACATGACAACTAACAATTAATTGATCTCTCTTACCTTACCTTCAACAAATTTTCCTGGAACACTTGATGCAATGATCATAAACTGTTCAGGGGTCTTCAACGATGATCCGATGTTTCAAATAATCGAAAATCTTACGATTACAACTTCACACAGCTTAATCAAATCGAAAATCGTTCCGACCACTATTTCAAAGACAGAATAAAGTCTTTTTGACAACTCCTACGGACCGAAAATATCTCGACTACAATTTCAAATAACTTGTGAAAACCGGTTACAGCTTTAAGTTTCCGAAAATGACCAAACTCTGAAATCAAATAATTGAAAACAGCTGTGATACACTGGAAATTGCTCGAACACATTCATAACTTCCAATAAACGAAAATATCTCAAACACAGATTCATATGGAGAGAAAATATATCGATTGCAACTTTCTTCAAATTCGGCTGAGAAGTAGAAAATGAATGGTTATGATAGTCAACGGAAGAAGCTTTGTAAATATTTTTTCCAAATTCGTCTTTAGATAGATTCTTTGTACTTGTATCCGTAGTTTATGAGTTCTACTCCGCTACCTGTATTTTTAGACAACGCTCTTTTCGACACCGTTATATATGGCCGCACATTAAAGACTTTATCCTTCAAGTTACATTTCTAAATACGACCCGGGTTCAAGTGGTTTTTTTCAAATGGGAGTCTATATGCAGAGCTACACAAAATACTTGTACGTTGGTGAGTTATCGCTCCGCAAACTCAATATATGAAGCAGTGGACACAACCAAATGCGGACGGAGGTGTGAACAGTGTTACTGAAATAGATACCGATGTATTTAGCGGTACCTGTAATACATTTCAGTGGTATGTTTCGGGAAATCTATTCCTGTTTCTGTAGATCGCCGTTGCACAGACCTGTATCACGGTCTACCAATCTGCTTAGATTGCAATTTTCAAACGAATCTATAACCTGTGCTCAATGTCTTTGGTATATGCAACATCGATCAAGCAAGGTAATTCGTTGAAAAATAAACGAATTGTAGAATTTATTGCACATAATTAATATAGAAAATCTAAATTGATTTAGCGCGTTGTTCAAAGATTTTAAAGGGGAAAGGAATGCCATTGCGTCAATGAACAGTAATAGAATCGAAAATCGAAATGAAGAAACGAAAGACAACAACTGGAATTTAGGAGATACATAAACAAAAAGTAAAACAGCATGATTTCCCATAATAAAATGGAAATGTAGACATTTGGGGAACCACTCGTGACACCAGTGGTATCTCATGAAAAAAACCCATTCACCTAACCAAATGAAATAGAATGGAACATTAATTAAAATAGAAAAGGACAAAAAACGTGTCCAATTGGCGAAATTCTTGAAAAAACGCAGATTTGGACAATTTGAACTTCACTTTGACGACAATATGTCTTTTGCTGTTGGCATGAGACTGTGTATGTATTTGCTCAGGAGAGTCGCTGCACATAATACTCGGAAGAGGGTGTTGCAGAATAGATAACTAGAGTAAACACGCATTAAAACACCTGCCGCGAATATTCATCAGTTGCATTTTAAAAGGATATAGGCTTGAAACACTTTATGTTTATTTTACGAATTACATGTTTCAGGGGTTTCTTCCTGGATAAGCCTTTTGAAAATAATCGCAAAAATTATTGCTCGTGAAAAATATGTTTTTACATTTGAAGCTGGCTTTCATTGAAAGTGATATTTCAAACCTCATTTGAGATATAATAAGTTCATTACACAGTGATAAGATCGATCACATATGCTTTACCTACTTCACAATCCTTTTCTTCATTGAACAAGGAGTGGTAAAATTGTTTGCTCTGATGGTTTCTGTTTCAAGTTACATTGTATATTATCACTGAAAAGTTAACAATGCGAAGGGCGATACATTCATATCCTGATATGATTTTATGTAACTTGCAAATTCGGGCACATTAAAAAAAGTATCGACTCACTGTTTTGCATTGCATGATTGTAAGAGGCGACTGATAGGCCACATTGACAAATCAATATGTTCTGATCTTTTATATTGGGTAGACGGATCAAAATACAAAAAAAAACCTGCTAGCCCGTCTGTAACAATGGAGACCGTCTATTATCCCCCTCTTACCTACCTTTTCCTTAAATTACGGTGTCTCCCGAAGCATGTCTGGTTAGTTTGGTGAGCCTGGTGAGCCCGCTGGCTAAAATAACGTTACCTGGTGGAGTGTCATGTTACCGTGTCCAGGTTATGCCGTTCCAGGAAGGTGGCACTTTAAAGTTGGTCCTTGGATGGTCCTATTCTCTGTGTTCGGCTTCTTCGTATGCTTTTGCTTGTGGCAATGACGCCGAACCCTTAAAACAAAGCAGTAAAAGTGTGATAAGACAGATGTTTTGTTATTGTATTTACTCGTCAGTTCACTTGATTCCGCATTTTTGAGTGTCCTTGTTGTTAGGCTTTAAATGCATGTTCACAAAATAATTTATAACGGAAGCAACTGGATGTCATCATTTAGTGACAGATTACTAAATTTCAATCGTTCTATTAACCCCGAAAAACGAAAATATTTCAATATTCCTACTGACTAATGATGTGGTTTGTTAATATCATTGTTTTCGGTAACAAAGTGATGTTTTCTTTACATTTCCGTTAGACATAACACGTAAGAATCAACCATTCGGAAAGTTTCGACATAGTTTTAATTTGACTTTACGACACAATTGGTCCCTCATTATCTTATGACGGAATTTTGGTTCGGATAGTTCGAATTTCGTTTTAAAATGTTCAAACCTGAGTTTGACCTACTAAGGTGTCACATTGTGTCTATTTGAAAATTAGAGCAAGAAGTCAACGTTCGAATAATTCGAATTTTGTTTTTATGTTAAAATAATAATCATAATTATAATCATAAAACATTAGTGCAGGCAGTTAGCGCTCACGTTATATAACCACCAGGTCGGATAATTCGAATTTCGTTTACAAATGTTCAAACCCGAATTCGACCTACCGAGGTTTGTGGACCGTGTCGATCAAAACGTACAGGTGCAGGTAGTTAGTGCTGACCTTACATAACCACAAGGTCGGATAATTCAACTTTCGTTTTCAAATATGCAAACTGAATTCGACTTACCGAGGTTTTTGCATTGTAAGTGCAAAAAGTTAACACTAAAATAACACAACCACAACATCAGGCCAGCTGATGAAGTGTAAGAGATAAAATCGAGCAAGAGGAGTTGGTTTTGTTTGTGATGGTGCTAGTGTTACCTACAGCTGGCTCGACCTTCACACATTGCCTTCACTATCACGCGATAACGAAATCTTCTAACAATGTTATTTATTGTTGAATTTTATCGCATCAAAATTTGGACGACTGTCAAGAACATCCAACAACAGATCCTGAATTCCAAGCGCATTAACTACCGCAACCTTGACCTTCGTCATAGCATATGGTTTTACGAAGTGTATACATCATAATTTTAGGTGTATGAGCAACGCTGGAAGAGACGAAACCCCGGGAATTCGAAAGACGTTGATGATCTGGGGTATAGTGTGCCTTGCATACGATACTTTATAATGTGTAAGTAATGTTTTCCGTTAGAGAAGAGCATCCATGGGAAAATTCTTCTCATTCTTATCGATGTCCTGAATGACTGAGCATGCATAGAACAATTTGCCCCGTTTGTGGTGCCCGTACATTTTAAAACCCGAGCGTACATTTTTGTCGTTCCCAAATCTCCTACCTAAAGGGGCAGGTGTTACGTAATAACACATTAGGTGGATCAGTAAAACATCGTTAATCAGAACTTCGTTCCAGTAGACCGGAAAATTCTTCTAATGACGATTTTGGTTCTTGTAGGCACATTTTGATACCAGGCAATATATATAGGAAAGTAGTTTATTCTATCACATACTAGGTGATATAACCTTATATCGCTATGTCCCGATATAATGCCAACATGTGATCAGCAAAACATAGGTGTAAGAAGGACTATTGCCTATATATCGAAAAAATGTTTATATATCGTTAAGAAAACAGAAGAAATAACGATGACATTTATAACACAAATACAAAACTAGTAAGATTACATCCGGCTTTCAATGCCATTTTATCGAAGTATGAAGACACTGCATCGAGGTTTTACGTAATTATATCGAGGTTTTCTTGCACTGAATGGAGGTTTTCCGGCATATTTACAACAATGTCATGAGTTTGTTTTGCATTAGGCTTAAGATAGGGCTGGTCATCCAAAAGAAATGCTCGGTAGTCATCATAATGAAATTTCATAAATTAAACACGGTGGTTCGGCATCATACTCAGGATGCCCAAGCACCTAAGCATTACTGATTTTAACCAAATTTAAAAACTATAAGATATATGATATTTTATATCTGGGGATTATATATCAGAACTCGCCGTTAATTATTTATTTATTATATTTCGACGAAAAATCTTGAAATGTCTATGCGTTTGGTTGAACCATAATACACCGTTTTAGTGTTGTATGAATAGAGTAGTAAAACAAAAATACTAATATTCCATTTTTTTTGTGTTAATGGGACGTGGATGAACAAGGAAACACAGCAGGTTAGGTTTATTTTTCAAAGTCTGTCAATCTCCAGGGGGAGAATCATCGATTCTGCAAGTGACACAACATTGGCCGTCCACCACACTTTGTTCGCCTCTTACTACTATTGATGAAATTGTACAGGGAGGAGAGTAATCATGTTCTCACAAACCTTGGCATTACATTTTACAACTTTTTAAATAATAATTTCTTTGTAAAAACATACATCATAGAGCAACACTTTCAACAAGCAATCTACTTGCATGCACGTGTAGAGGAAAAGAGTTATATAATCGATTGCCATTCATACATTATCCATTCAAATGAGCGAATTCTATGAAGTACGAGATTTAAAAATACTAAGAAAGCACAATGTTTTGTCGATGTCGATGTCGGGATGTGATTTGGTTTCGCAAATTCTGAAAATTCGTTAAAGATTTCACATTTCGAGCAACGTGCGCCGCCGAACCTAGATTGCTTAGCAAGACCTTCGATTAATTTCACGGACGAAGACGGCCATGTACTTAGACTTGACTATCTCAATGGTAATGAATCAAACACGTGTGTGTCCGGTTTACACCAAAGATCAGTTGTTGATTTTGTCTTAATATAATCTACTTACCGTTCGTGACGTATTTATTTCAAAATTTTCATTGATATTTTTTTTATTATGAATAATAATGTGTCCTACCCTATTGTGTACAGTGAAAGAGAAAGGAAATACATACATGTATCTAAATAAGGCTGATTGCGTGGGAAAAGTAAGCGGTTTTTGCATTTAGGATTTCCTGGTTGAATGCTAATTTCAGATCAACGCAAATACATTTGACTCCACAGGGAATTTAGCCAATTTTGATGCTTATAGATGGGTTATCTTGAACCTAGTTACCTGTAGTACAAGACAAGTACAGGTAGTACAAGTACGAAACTAAGATTCTAAATATTGATATTTTGTTTTTGTGTTTACATGTAAAAGGGCAATGAGATTTAGTTAATATCATACTGGTGTTTGGAATTGCTTTAGAATTCATGATAGATTTTCATCACATTTTCGTTAAAATCGATAATTGATTATTGATCGATTATAAACGAAAAGGAAAACAGAAAATCATTTACCAAATTCGTTAAAAATGTGACAGAGATTTTTGAAATACGTACATATAACTATAGGCAAAAACGTAGTTTAAATGCTGTTTGTGGTTAAACCGACAAGCAACATTGTTCTTTAAATCAGTTTTCAAATCTCAATAATTCTTGACTTTTTTTCCCCAATTGTATAGACAAACAATGATCCGTCATCGGAAATCATAAGCATTAAGTTATAATCAGAAGCCACAACTTATTCTTGATTGGATTGATGTATTTAAACAACACTAGATCGTGCATTACAAAAGTCAATGGGTATTTCGCAATAAATATGAACGCACTCTCTAACCCTTAGATAAGTTCGGAAGAGTGCGAGCACTTTGGTCGATACGCGATCGACCTTCACCGTCGGCTTTTCCCAGAGATGAGTCCATTACCGGGGAAATCCGAGATGTTTCACCGATGTCTTCTGGTTCCTGCTTCGTACCGAGAAATATTGGATCGTGTACACACCTAATAATCGCTCAAGGGAGGGGCAGGTAGCATGGCCGGTGTGAGTCAGTTCGATATGAAATAACTGTTGTCGTATGGACGCGTACATCTGCTCAAAGAGGCTCCGCTGTGTATGTTTCATTTCAACCGCTTCCTCGTAACATCAACACTGTCACTTTTTAACCTGTACGGTTGGTGGTTGATTTGAAGCAAAAAAATCTTTTCCGGTGTACTTCTTAAAACAATTTATCGTTTTTCTCCCGAATGTTTTTTTCTTTTTTCTTTTCTTTTAGTTTTTTGGTACACTTTTAAACAAATTCTCACTTTAATAAACAAATCTGGAGATTGTCTTTTTCCCGAATCATGAACCTCTGCTAATTAAAGTGTGTTAAAAANATTTTAATTTTTTTTTTTTTTTTTTTTTTTTTTTTACGGTAAAAAAGTCATGATTACACGAGAAAAACTATAAAAACTGTCCAAATCAGCAACGTTTGCTGGATAAGATTTGTGAGTTCAAGTTGATTTAAATCTATAAAGCTTTCAGCGTGAAATTAAAAGAAATTCGATTTAATATTACTTCCAAGTATACAATTATTGCATGTTGATGAGGTCAATAAATGGTATTATCAACCTCAGTATAGCGATATTGACCGAGGACGACATGTGGTTGATAACAACATGCAATGCACCATAATGGTGTACATATTTTGAACAAACTCTTGCAAATTTTGTTTAACTGAAGTTTCAGGAATAAACAATAAAGACAGATAAGTTTTCCCCTCGATTTTTTACAAGAGTTGTTTTTAAAGACATATGTGAAGCTGCTTGCATTATATTAGGACTCCCTTCATATACCCCTATTGATACTTGAAACTAGTCTTGAATTTATCTAATCGCAGAAAACGGGGGAAACTATTGTATGAGATGCATATTCAATAAAATAACTTCTGATGACTTCAATCATCTTTTGCCGCCCTCATCTGGAGAAAATAACCGTTACACTTTACGTAACAATAATAACTATATGATTCCTCCTTTCAGACTGTCTCTTACTAACTCTACTACTCTTCATTGTTAGAGTAAAATTCGGTTCGATCCCTGCTCTCTATAAACTCATTAAAATCCTGTTAAACATCAAATATTCAGTCAAGGTCACCTATTTACTTTAAAATTGGAAATCGTAAACTCAATATTTTGCATACTAAGCTCCG